AAGAAAAAAAAAGCTACTTTTTTATTTTTAAATTCTAGCTATAGAAAAAATACAGCTGCTAGCTAAAAGTAAAGTTATAACTGCTAAAAAAGTAAATTATAATTAAATAACTATAAGCTAGATATTAAAGAAAGACTGCTAACTACTAGGTAAATAAAAATAATAAAAATTAATTAAAAAAATCTATTTTAAAATAATATAAATACTAAAGGCACTAGAATATTATTAAAAAAAAGGGAGTATATAAAAAAAATAATATAGCTAGTTAATATTTATATTATTACTTTTATTAAATTCTTCTTTAAAGGCCCTATCCTCTTCTATAATATTCTCTTTATTTACTAAAATACTTTTAATATATTCTAGCTTTTTTAAAAAATCTAGACAGCAGTAACTTAAAAAATTAACTTTATTAACAGCCTATATATAAATCTAGCAGTAAGTTAAAAATAAAGCCTAGTTAATTTAAAAAATAACTTATAGCTATTAAAGCAATAAAAAATATTAATATATTTAAGAAATTAATAATATTTAAATAAATTTAATTAATAAAGATTAAACAGGCCTTAATATAAAAAATTAATAATTTAGCTATAAAAAAGTTATTAAAAGTCTAAAAGTTTACTATTGCTTTTTACTTAGCTTTTATAATATAATCTTTATATTTTTAAAAAAAATTTTTAGTTTTTATTTATAAAAAAACTATAATAAACTAGCTAAAAATTAGCAATAAAGAAATAAAAGAATATAAAAAATATTATTATATTTAGGGTTATTTTTACAATCTTTTATACTAAATGGCAATATACTGCCTAATAACCCTTATCTATAGCTTTACAGCCCTTTTTACCCTTACTATTACTATTATCTTTAGTATAAATATAAATAATATATTTATTACTATTATTTAAGTTATAGTTAGTTAAAAGCAACCCTTTTAAAAGTAACTTTAAATAAACTTATAGTATAAATACAAGCTGGCTTTATTATACCTAGTTTTTAATATTAATAATAATATATATAATAATAATAAAGGTTTTTTTTAAAAGCTAGTTAATATTAAGTTATAAAAGCATTAAGTAAGCATATATTATTATATTAATTATAAATCTAGTATTTAAAGGTCTTATATAAGCTATTTATTTATTTTTATCTTTAATAGTAGTACTTTATATTTTAGCTATAGTAAAGGTATTGCTTAATAAAGAGCTTAATAAAAGATATAAAAATAAAGATAATAAAAAGAAAATAAAAAGAATTTATTTTATTTTATATTTTTAAAAATAAAAAAAGATAAAATTATAAAAAAAGTTATTATTAAATTATATTTAAATTTAATTTATTTATCTATAGAATGCTGTTTAATAAGGTATTATTATTTATAAATTTAAAAAGCTATATAAGTTATATTTAAGTAGCACTAGATTAATGCTATAAAGGAAAGGCAGTATATTAAGTAATAAAAAAGCTAAAATATAATTAGCTAAAAACTAGCTATTATCTTTTAAGCTTAAATAGATATTTTATGCTGTATTAATAAACTTTAAGTCTTTAGCTAAGGATATAAAATAGAAGGCCTAATGCAACTAGCTAAAAGCTAATTACTATAAAAAAAGAAGGTATAAAAAAAAAGGACTTTCTTTTATAAAAACAAAAAAAGGGCAGAGATAAATATAGTCTTTTAATAATACCTAGCAGCTATCCAGCAACAAAGACACACCTAGCCCCACTTAATCCTCTATCACTCTTCTTGCAAGACCCGGACCGTGACAGCCAATAACCACTATTGTAGCAGTTACTGTAACGAAACCAGCTGCCTACAAGAGCTTTGCAGTTACAGTAAACCAGGTTGTAATAAAAAGGTAATAATCTTTTACTTACACTAGCACTGTATTTTCCACTATAGAGCCATCGATTACAATGTAAATAATAATTATACTTGTTAACTTAAAAGTATTATTTTTATAATAAAATATATATATAAAATAAGTTTTATAAGTTATTTTATTATTGATATTTATAATATATATTTAAATTTCCTTTTTTTTATTATGTTTAGCGTTAATTTTAAATTTTAATATGCTGTATTTGGGTGTGTACTGTGGGGTTGTCTTGACTTTTACTGACACCGCTCGAGATAGCTGTATTTTGTTTGCCGTCAGCTATAAGTTTACTCTATTCCTTGATCTTAGTCCGAAAAGGGCAACTGCGTTTTCTGTGCGTTAATTCGAGCCAACCATGCTTGCCGATCCGTAATAGATCTGGCCCTAACCTGTGGCGAGAGGAGCCTGAAGGCGGTGTTGGCAACGTGACCCTCAACGCTTTCGCTTACACCCGAAACCCCATTAATGTTCTTTGGTATGGTATTGTTGGAGCTCTCACCCCCAGTCTTCCCGATGAGTCTATGCTAGCACCGTTAGTCTTGCCATATATAACGGCGGCTGCGGCGGTGGTCAACGTACGATTCGTCCGTTTCGTTGGGGCGAGTGTTTGCAGATGGCTGGACTTGGTCTTCGGAGCTTACATTGAATGGCCGGCTAGGACTTGGTGGGAACACCGTTAGCATGCAGAGGTGTGTACTACTCGACCCTCTACAACTCACTGTGTGGCGGACTCGGTTGCTGCAGATGTGCTCTTGGCCCTCGCATTTAAATATGCTCTCTGTGTCGTCTTGAGAGCCGAAGTCGCGGCTGATGCGGCCGACGAGCTTGGAAGACAAGAGTGGCAATGCGAGCTGGTCCTCCTCACGACGAAGCTGGCCTTGGCGGAGCGGAGCATCATGACAGGGTGCGAGGAATGGTGTTGGTTGAGAGTGTCAAAAAGCTGAAAGTTGTTACAGTCAGGTAACAGGTACTCTCAAGGGGAAAAATAAAACAGCTTACAATATCCTTCATAAAAGGAACAAATTAAACGGCTTATATAGGAAAATTGAGGCCCGAAACCTGGGAAACGGCGTATGACCCTCCGACTCGGAGAACGACAAGTTGCGAATATCACCGATATAATGCGATTATAGTCTCTAACATAGGCTCCGGCGCCAGCACGGAAGAACGGCGGTCAGCAGCGGCAGTATTGGAAGAGAGTCCATTGAAACGACTTCGAGTTGGTTTATTCCTCCATTGACTGCGTTGAGTGTCTGTAAGTGGAAATAGTAGTCTTCTCGGTGCTTACAATGGCTTCTTGCGTCAATACTTTGGCCACCAAGGTTGCTGCTGGGCAGCTTTGCAAGGTATGCCTTGAACCCCCAGCCAAATGAGGCACAGGAACTCTCACAGCAGCTCTGCATCTGTCAATTCTAACCTGTTCTCCTAGGCCTTTGGCATCAAGTTTAATACGAACCCCCAAGTCGTTCAGCTAGCAAAAAATGCCGGTTTTGATTCGCTTTTCATCGATTTGGAGCACTCGACGCTGTCCATTGACGATGTAAGCCAGTTGTCCGTTGCTGGGCTGCTCACAGGCATCACCCCTTTCGTCCGAGTCCCACACCAGTGTGGCAATGGCTTCGTGCAGAGAGTCCTCGACGGCGGTGCGATGGGCGTGATATTCCCACATATACATTCATCTCGTAAGTATCCCCGGATCCCCGCACCATGGCTTCGGAGCCTAATACCGCGATCTTTAGAGGACGCGAAAGCTGCCGTTTCCATTTCGAAATACCCGCCAGCGGGTTGCCGATCGATGACCGGCCAGCTGCCGGTATTTTCGCTCAAAACGACACCGCAAGACCGAGTCATTGATGAAAGCAACACATCCGCTTCGTCAGTCATCCTGATGATAGAGACCAAAGATGCCGTTGAGAATGTCGACGAGATCGCGGCAGTCGAGGGCGTCGACGTGCTCCTGGTCGGATCTAACGACCTAGCGATCGAATTGGGTGTACCAGGCGGCTTCCAGACGCCTACTTTCCGCTCTGCTTTGGAATCGGTCAGTAAGGCTTGTAGGCGACATGGTAAGACAATGGGATTGGCTGGGATATATGACAATTACGAAATCCAGAATTGGGCCATCAATACGCTCCATGTCCGATACATGCTTTGCGCAATAGACTCGAGCCTCATTGCCAGCGGCGCTACAAGATGTATTGCTGCACTGCCCAACGTCGAAAAGAGCGGTAGGGGGTAGGAAATGCTTTGTACGGGTTTGTTTGGGTTGTAGAAATTCTCAGTAGCCTTCCGCAAAGATGCACAATACCACGCACTACGCAGCTGGCAGGAAACCATCCGATATAGTGGTGGCCCATCAGATTCGTTTGGAACCCACGGTTTACATCTCATTTAGAAATTCGCAGTTTCGTAGAGCCTCAAATGGAGCCCCCACAGGTCAGATGGTTATCTCTTGGCTACTAACTTGGAATTTGGCATTACGTTGAGATACACCCGTGAAATTGCATTGTGTGACGCTGGATACCGCAGCTATTGTCCATGATATCTGCGTTACTAGATCGGTTGTTCCCAAGCTACCCTGTACATGTAGTTACCAATCTCTCTACCCCACCACTGAGCTGCCCGTTTTTTCTCCATACATACTCTCTCATTCCTCACAAGGTGTAGAGCAGCTTCTTGCCCGAGACCCTCCCACTCCGAATATCATCCAAACCCTCCAATGCACCAGCCAATCCGTCATCGCGCACCAGCTGTGGATGGAAGCGGATAAGCTTACGATCCACGAGCCCCTGCATTGTGCGGTTCCACACTTCGAGAAAGTCCTGGGCGATGCGGTTTGGCTTCCTGGTATGCGGCTCTGGCCAGGCGATCTCGTCGCCTAGGGGCTCGAGGCCAAAAACCCAGCTGGGGCGCACAACGGCGCGTGTCGCCGCCACGGCGTCGCTGTAGGGGTCGAGCGCCACGTAGCGGCCACCAAGGCGGCTCAGGGCGGCATAGCAGAGGCGCGACGACTCAAGGTTGGTGACGCAGTCGATGGCCAGGCGCAACAGGTTGCCCGTGTAGGCGCGTATCTCTTCGGCGGCTGTTGGCGAGGCATAGTCGAAGGTGGCGTCGGCCCCGAACGAGCGCACCAACTCGAAGCTGCGCGCAGAGCACGTCGCGATGACGGTGAATCCGGCCAGCTTGAGCAACTGGATGGCCGCTGTGCCTGTATAACTGGCCCCGCCGCTGACCAGCACCGTCGTCGCCGGCTTCGAGCCGTCACCAGGGCTGTGAGCTGTGGTGATGTTGATCTTGGGCTCCAGCTGAGGCGGCGGGAGGCGGCTGTTGAGCGGCTCGAGCTGCGGCCCGGCTGGCAAGCCCATGGCGTGGAACAGGGCCCACGACGTCGTGATCCACGCGAGTCCGCCCATGCCGCCCGCCGCCTGCGCGAAGGTCCAGTCGTCGGGGATCTTGAGGGCACCCCACGCCGAGCACACCGTGTTCTCTGCGAAGGCCCCGACGCTAGGCCGCAACGAGTTCAGGCCGATGACGGTGGCGGCGACCCGGTCTCCCTCCCGGAAGCCCCATTCCGCGGCAGTCGGGCCCACGGCCGTTACCAACCCGGCAAAGTCGCATCCCAGAATGGCGCCCTCGGTGTGGTAGGGGCCCGTCATTTTCGTGTCGACTGGGTTGATTGAGATGGCCTTGACGGCCACGGCCAGCTCATGGTCTTGGAGCGGCCCCTGTGGGAGCGGAGCCGAGTGAGAAAGGATGATGTCGCCTTTGGGACCGCCGACCAAGGCCGTCTGCGTCGTAGATGGGACGGTCATTTTGCTTGTAAATGGTCCAGCTGAGTAACCAAACACACCGTCGAAACTGTTGAATATTCTATAGGTGCTTCTTCCGTGGAGTATTCATTAAAAAACCGGTATATAAACTAGGTAGGAAGCATCCTGCTTGGAATGGGTTCAGCGACACCCTGCGTCTGTCTAATCAGTATTACCGAACGCCAGCAAACCCCAGAAATCCTACCAGACCATATAACGAAAATGATTGAATGTATACCGGGGTGTTCTTCATGCTGTTCTCAAGAGAATGCCGTTGTTGACGCAAGCTTACAGCGTTGACCGAAAAGCTCCGAAACACTCCGGCTGATGGCTGCCTTCGCCTGCTGCACTGATTCTGCCCTAGCCACACCGAGAAGATTCAGAGGCAAGGCAGAGAAGTGAAATGGTATACGGGCTGTCCAGGCCTTCCCGACTATGGTATTTAAAACTCGGTGTTAATCGGGTTGGCATTATTAGGATTTTCCGAGCCAACGACTAGGAGCTAAGAGCCAGGGTTGAGTTCAGGCACAGAAGGTCACTCCATCGTATGGAAGACGGAAAATACCGAGAAAAGTAGGCGTCTGATCAATCATCGTGAGTCTCAGCTGTATCCGAATACAAGTCGAGGCCCCTCCACCCGGCCCATTTTGCTTACGGGGGAAGCACCGAGATCGCTGCCAAAAGTCTCGTCTGACAGCCTTTAGAAGAAGATGACGCACAGACCAAGAGATTCAATATGTCCGGCAAAATCTAATCACTAAATTTAAGTGGTCGTACTGGAGTTGCCAACATATCAACATCCCCCAGCTCTAGTTCTTCTCTCGCAATCATATCTCTAACCCTCCAACCAATCCAAGATTGGACAGACAACTTGTCAAAGTTAGCATCGAATGTTAGTGCTTCCGTGATCCTTGCAGCCCAGTGTCGAGGCACGTTTCTTCAACACTTAAGGACAAGAAAGCTTCAACACTTGAAGGCTTTTCGCTTGACTCTGGTTCAGCCTCGACCTCTCACCACTTCCCCTTGGTGCTTCATCCCTCCCATCCTGCCGTAGACAGTACGCAACTGAGGCACCGTCCACCGTACATATCTAAAATGGCAGTGCCAGAGCAGGAGCCTATCGCCATCATTGGCATGGCATGCCGCTTCCCAGGCGGCTCAGACTCACCCTCGAAGCTATGGGACTTGATCCAGTCGCCACGCGACCTCTCGAAGCGTGTTCCGGCTGACCGTTTCGATATAACCGGATTCTCCCACACCAATGGCTCCCAACACGGCGCCACGAATGCGCCAAACGCATATTTCATCGAAGAAGACGTGACCCGGTTTGACAACACCTTCTTCAACATCCAACCAGCCGAGGCCGAGGCCATCGACCCACAGCAGCGCCTAGTCATGGAGACTGTTTACGACTCTCTGTACGTTGTTTGTCTTGTTGTGTTTCTTGTCCCAGCTGACCCATTTGGCCCCCTATCTATAGGTGTGCCGGTGGCCAAACCATTGAAAGTCTTCGGGGATCCAATACAGCCGTGTATGTCGGCATGATGTGTGATGACTGGGCTCAGATCGTTAACCGGGACTGGGACCTGGCCCCGACATATGCTGCCACGGGCGACAGTCGTGCCATCATCTCAAATCGGGTCTCCTACTTCTTCGACTGGCACGGACCTAGTATGACTATTGACACGGCCTGCTCGTCCTCGTTGGTGGCAGTCCACCAGGGTGTGACAGCCCTGCGAAATGGCGAATGCCCGATCGCCATTGCGGCCGGTGCCAACCTGATCTTGGCTCCTGGTGAGTTTCTGGCAGCATCGCTACGGACAATGCTATTCTCGACAGGCGGAACTGGTTGATGCTGACACGGCTGGAACTTTTCCACCATAGGTATGTTTATCAAAGAGAGCAGCCTTCGCATGCTGTCACCCACGGGCACCAGCAAGATGTGGGATGCTGCAGCTGACGGCTATGCTCGCGGTGAGGGCATTGCGGCCGTTGTGATGAAGCCGCTTAGTGCGGCACTGAGAGACGGCGACCACATCGACTGCGTAATTCGCGGGACAGCTGGTAAGTTTCTCCCCTATTACCATGTTTCTTTTTCTATACGGCATTCATTGTCAATATACTTGAGCGCAACACTAAATATACACCTCGATAATCACAGTAAATCAGGACGGTAAGACGGCAGGTATGACAATGCCCAGTAGCGTCGCCCAGGCACAGCTCATCCGGGATACCTACGCCCGTGCCGGGCTCGACATCAACGATCCGAAAGATCGTCCCCAGTTCTTCCACGCGCACGGCACTGGCACGCAAGCCGGTGACCCGCAGGAATCGGAAGCCATCGCGCGATCCTTGTTCGAGCATGGCAAGCCGACCGATACGCTATATGTGGGCTCTATCAAGACCGTTGTCGGGTACGTCCTAAGCGACTCTTTGCCTCGAAGACTGCCTTTGTCCGTCTCACCATGTACTGACACTTTGGCCTTCTGGCTCGCACAGACACACCGAGGGTGCCGCCGGTCTTGCCAGCTTGATCGGCTCTGCCATGGCCATGCAGCATGGCATAATCCCCCCCAATCTTCATTTCAAGAGGCTAAGTGACAAAGTCGCCCCGTTCTACGATAATCTCAAGATTCCTACCTCCGCCACGCCCTGGCCAAGTACGCTTCCCGGCCAGCCGCGCCGAGTTAGTGTCAACAGTTTCGGTGGGTCCAAGATTGATAGAAGCTGAAAGCCAGTTGAGAGTTGTCGTGGAACTGACAGGCTTATGCCGTGGCAGGGTTCGGTGGCACCAATGCACACGCCATTCTCGAGTACTATGAGCCTCAAGCAGCGAACAAGAAGGCTGCTGCCGCCGCTGCTGCTGCTGTGCCAGCATTTACTCCACTCACCATCTCGGCTGCTTCCTCGTCTGCCATCCGCGCCACCCTCGATGACCTACGGACCTACCTACAGGGGAACCCGGACACCAACATGCGCGACTTGGCTTACACACTACAAACACGCCGGTCGACGCTCCCTTTCCGCAAGCCTATCTTTGCCGCTAACATTGACGAGGCCATCAAGAGGATTGATGAGCTGCTCGCCGACGCCAACGCCGGCGATAACGACCTGACTACCCGCTATTTCGACGTGTCCAAGCCCTCTATTCTCGGCGTGTTCACTGGCCAGGGCGCCCAGTGGCCGCGAATGGGAGCACGGCTCATCGAGGAGTCACCATTTGCTGCCCAGCGCATTGCCGAGCTTCAGCGAGCCCTGGCCACGCTCCCCGATGGCGACCGGCCCGACTGGACGCTGAGCGGGCAACTCCTTGCCAACCCCAAGTCCTCCCGGCTTTCCGAAGCAACCATATCTCAGCCGCTATGCACAGCCGTGCAGATCGTACTCGTGGACCTACTCAGGGCCGCGGGTATCCAGTTGCGTGCCGTCGTAGGTCACTCATCCGGCGAGATCGCCGCTGCGTATGCCGCCGGCTTCCTGTCGGCCACCACTGCGATCCGCGTCGCCCACTATCGTGGCCTCTACGCCAAGCTGGCCCGCGCTGGAGGCCCTGGCGCCATGATGGCCGTCGGTACTTCGTTTGAAGATGCTCAAGAGCTCTGCGAACTTATTGGAGGGATCCAGGTCGCCGCACGCAACTCCCTGACCAGCATCACTCTATCGGGTGACGAAGATGCCATCGACGAGGCTGTCGCCATCTTCAAGGACGAAGGCAAGTTCGCGCGCCGGTTACAAGTCGACACGGCATACCACTCTGCCCATATGCAACCGTGTGCGGAGCCTTATATCGCTGGCCTCGCAAGGGCCGGCTATGCCGTGGAGGAGGGCAACGGCACAATGTGGTTCTCAAGCGTCGTCGAGGGCGGTCGTGTCATGACTAAAGAGGACGTCCAGTCTTCCCAGTACTGGGCCGACAATATGGCCAACGCCGTCTTGTTCGAGCCGGCCATATCGCAGGCAGTCACTGAAGCCGGGCCGATGGACTTGGCCATCGAGTACGGTCCCCATCCCGCGCTCAAGGGTCCGGCCCTCGATACGATAGAACATGCAACCGGGCACCGAATTCCCTATACGGGACTGCTAGCCCGGAAAAAGGACGACGTAGAAGCTCTGGCATCGGCTGTCGGTTCCATTTGGACGCACCTGGGGGCCTTGTCGGTTAACTTCGACGAGTTTGAGACGCTGATTTCTGGTGCCGCATCGTTGCCGAAGCAGGCCGTGACCAACCTCCCGACCTATCCCTTTGACCACTCCCGTTCTTTCTACTCGCTCACCCGCTTCTCGGGCGCCCATCGACACCTGCAAGCGCTGCCACACCCGCTCTTGGGGCGACGGTTGGTAGAGACGGAGACGGCGGACGAGGTCTCATGGCGCAATGTCCTGCGCCCCTCCGAGAACAGCTGGCTCCAGGGCCACGCGTTACAGGGCCAGAGTGTCTTCCCCGCGATGGGCTTTATCTCCTTGGCCGTAGAAGCCGTCGCCGCTGCTGCTGCCGGCCGCAAGCTCGGGCTCATCACCATTGATAACGCCGTCATCGGCCGCGCTCTCTCGTTTGATGACGAGAATTCCGGCATGGAAACCAAGGTGACACTGGGCGTGGTGCGGTCCACCGACGGCGAGCTCTCCGGCCGCATTACCTGCCACTCTGGCCGACCGTTCGACAGCAGCACACCGTTGACCCTCAACTTCAGCGCTACTATCACGGCCGCCTTGTACGAAGCCGGGTCAGACACGCTGCCTGCAGTCCGCCATGACGAGATCAACTTGGTGGAGGCGGAGCCCGAGCGCCTGTACTCGCAGTTCACCAAGTTGGGCTATACCTACGGCTCGCCGTTCACAGGTGTGCGGACGATCCACCGCAAGATGGGTTGGGCCATGGGCGAGATCGAGGACGAGTCTGGCGACGGCTGGGAGGATAAGCTCTTGGTCCACCCGGGCTGGCTCGACTCGGCCATCCAGACGGGCTTCGCCGCCTACAGCCACCCTCACGACAACCGTCTCTTTACTCTCTGCGTGCCAACGGCCATCCGCTCCGTCGTCATAAACCCATACTTCTGCAACACCAGTGCGGCTCGTGACCGCACCCTACAGTACCAGACGTCCACTCGTGCGACGCCCGAGGGCCATATGATGGTCGATATTGACGTATACTCTGGCGGGTCAGCGCAAGCGCACCCGTTTGTGCAGTTTGAGTCAGTTGAGCTCCAGCCGTTTGCGGCGCCAACACCTCGCGACGACACTGTTATCTACACTCGCTACGACTACCGCCTGGCTGCCCCTGACGCCAATGTGGCCATGAAGGGCGAGGACGGCGAAGAGAGCGGCTGCAACGGCGTGTTGTCGTCCGAAAACGACACAGTCTTGCTGGCAGCCGAGCGTGTGGGCTTTTTCTACCTACGCCGCCTCGACGAGGCCATGACGGAGTGGGAGAAGGCCGATGCCCTGGGCCATCATCAGCACCTGCTGGACTTTGCTGCTCGCACCGTAGAGGCTGTGTCGCGAGGGGATCACCCCTACGTGCCGTGTGAGGCGCTCAAGGACTCGGCAGCTTTTATCAACTCTCTCATCGCTAAGCACCACAAGCACGACTACATGCGGCTGCTGGAGGTAGCGGGCAACCATCTGGCTGATGAGATCCGCAGCGGTGGGAGCATCCTGGAGCACCTAGCCAGGGACGGGCTGCTGAACCGATTCTACCAGCAGCTGACGGCGCAGCCGGGGCAGGAGAACGCGAACGCGTGGTACGCCCGCGTTGCCGCCCAGATCGCCCACCGGTTCCCGCGCATGCATATCCTCGAGATTGGAGCGGGAACTTGCGGCGGCTCGACCGCCTCGATCCTGCCCGCCCTTGGCGACGCCTTCTCCTCTTACACTTACACTGACGTCTCGGCCGAGTCCTTGGAGGGCGTCCAGGACCGTTTCCGCGACTTCGCCGATCGCTTGGTGTTTACGACATACGACATTAACCAGCCGCCAGCGGAGCAGGGGCTAGAGGAAGGCTCATACGATGTCGTGCTGGCCTCGGCGACCCTGCATACCGCCGGCGACCTAGACGAGACGCTTGCTAATGTGAGGAAGCTCTTGAGGCCTGGCGGCTATCTAGTCGCGTTGGAAATCAACAGCAACGACTCCCTGAGTCTAAGCACCATTCTCGGCGGTCTACCCGGGTGGTGGGCCGGCAGTAACGGCCCGTCTCTGCCACTGGATCGTTGGCATTCACTAACACGCCGACACGGCTTCAGTGGCATCGACACGAACACCCCCTTTTCCACCGGCAGCAATAACAAGCTGCAATGGTTCTCCATCTTTGCCAGCCAGGCCGTCGATGACCGTGTTAATAGTCTGCGTGCTCCCCTAGCCGCTCCTGCTCCGACCCAGGGCACCGGCCAGCTGGTTATTGTAGGCGGGCACACAGAAGTCATTGCCCAGCTGGCCAAGGGTGTAAGTGCCCTGATCAGCCCGCGCTACGCAGCCGTCACGCTTCTTGAGTCTATCGAGGAACTCAGCGGGTACGACCTGGCCTCCGGGAGCTCTGTCCTATGCCTGACCGAGCTGGAGGAGCAGCTCCTCGAGACCCGAACCGAGCCCAAGATTGAGGGCCTAAAGACGCTCTGGCGGAACGGCCATAGCATCCTCTGGGTCACACGTGAGGCCCGCGCTGAGCGTCCGTACTCGTCTATCATTCTCGGAGTGTCCCGCGTTCTCCGCCACGAATATCCCACTATCACTCTACAGCTGCTAGACTTCGACGCCGCCACGGAAGCAACGTCGGAGGTTCTGGCCGATGCCCTGCTGCGCCTTGAGTTGGGTGCACGCTTCAAGAAGGCGGAGGAAGCCAATGTCCTCTGGACCATCGAGCCCGAGTACCACTACGTCAACGGCCAATTATTCATCCCGCGACTGCTCCCTTACACAGAGGCCAACAACCGGTACAACACCTACCGCCGCGATGTGTATGATGAATTCGATCCGCGCGAGACGACGATGGTGCTCGAGCCAGCGGCTGACGGGATGTCATTCAAGCTTGCCACCGTGTCGCCGCTGCGTGTGCTGCCCACACCTCGAACTATGGGCAATACCGTCACTCTCCGAGTCGAGCAGTCGCTGCTGCAGGTTCTCAAGATCCGGGAGGTTGGCTACTTCACCTTGTTTGTCGGCACCGAGGCTGAGACAGGTCAACGGCTCCTCGCGCTGGCCGACACTACTGTCGAGTCCCGAGCACGTGTGCCCACCGAGTGGACGGTGCCTCTGCCGGCGAGCAAGAATAGGAGTACCAGCACCTCTCTTGGCGGTGTTGCCGCATATCTCCTTGCGCAGACCATCCTCGCCGCCACCGCACTACGCTCCGGAACTGTGGTGGTGCATGAGGCCGACCAGCTCCTAAAGGACGCCCTGGACAAAGTGGCAGCCAGAGAGGACGTACAAGTTGTCTTTACAACAGCGACAAAGAACCGCACAGATGTCAATAATTCCTCACCGTACATTTTCGTCCATGAGAAGCTCCCTATGCGGCTGGTGCGCACACTTTTGCCGCGCAATGTCTCACTCCTGATCGACCTGTCTCCCGAGCCTGCGTCTGCCTGTTCTGACCTTTTGGTCCGATCTCTCCCGCCACACACAGCCAAGGCCAAGGCGGCTGACTTCTTGCGTACGCAGCCCGGCCTGTCTCCCCACTCAGACGACGACGACGACGTGGAGCAGGTCGGCCGAGCGCTCAAGGAGGCCTGGAAGGGTGTGGCAACCCGAGGGCAGCTAGGATCGTCATCGACAAACGAGCAGGTTCCCGTATTGGCACTCCAGGATGTCGCCTCCTCGCCTGCCATACACACCAAGCTCAGCGTCGTCGACTGGGCCACGACCTCATCGGTGCGAGCTCTTGTACGGCCCATCGACCATGGCACAATCTTCCGCGCTGATGGCACCTACCTCCTTGTCGGCCTGACTGGCGAGCTAGGCCAGTCGCTGTGCACTTGGATGGTAGCCCATGGGGCGCGGAACCTGGTCCTCTCTAGTCGGCGGCCCAAGGTGAGCCAGCGGTTTATCGATTCGTGCGCGGCTGAGGGAGCGACTATCAAGGTGATGTCGATTGATGTGACACGGCGCGAGGCTCTGCGCGAGGCTCTTGACGAGATCCGCGCTGAGCTACCGCCCATCATCGGCGTCGCCAACGGCGCCATGATGATCGACGACGCCCTATTTGACGACATGAAATTCGAATCGCTACAGCGGACGGCCCCGCCCAAGATTGAAGGCTCCGTCATCCTAGACGAGTTCTTTTATGACACGCCGCTCGACTTCTTCATCCTCTTCACCTCGCTGGCCAACGTCGTTGGTAACACGGGCCAGTCGGCCTACATCATGGCCAACCAGTTCATGGCCGCGCTCGCAGCCCAGAGGCGCAACGTGCGTGGCGTCGCCGGCTCCGATATTGCCATCAGCTCCATCCAGGGCCTGGGCTATTTCGAGCACGCCAACCACCTGGACAAGGACCACTTCACGCGCATAGGCTACCGCAACGTTTCTGAGCAGGACTTCCTCGGGCTCTTCGCCGAGGGCATCCTCGCCGGCCGGCCAGGCCAGAAGGGCGGGTCCGAGGTGTGTACTGGCGTGTCGCCCTTCCGCGACGGCGTCACATTGCTCGCCAACCCCTGCTTCAGCCATCTCCTGCTACACGACGCCGCTGCCATCCAGGGCGGGCGTGGTGGTAGCACTGGCAAGACGGAGCGTCCGCGCGCCCGTCTTGCTGCTGCCAAGTCCGCTGCTGAGGCAAAGACCATCATCGGAGAAGCCTTTGTCGAGCGGTTGAAGCGCATCCTGATGATCCCTCAAGGCGAGAGCGTGAACGAGATGGTGACGCTCGTAGAACAGGGAGTGGACTCCATCATGGCGGTTGAGGTCCGCACCTGGTTCCTCCAGGAGTTCAGCATCGACCTTCCTGTGCTCAAGATTCTGGGTGCTGGGTCGACGATCGAGTCTATACTTAATGATGCGATGAACGGCATCCCCGCCGAGATCCTGGGCTTGGAAAAGGTGGGCAGTGGCAGCGGCAATCCTCCTGTTGCTATCGTTGCTGCCCCTACTGCTCCTCATGCTCCTGCTCCTGCTCCTGCTACTGCTCCTGCTACTGCTCTTGCTACTGCTCCTGCTACGGCTTCTTTCCCGCCCACCAAGCCATCGACGGAGACATCGTATAGTTCGGGGTCAGGCAGCCCGCTGGCCATCTCGACGCCCCGATCGCCGCTTGACACGCCTCTGGACCTGGGAGACGATGCCGAGCATAAGAAACCTACAGTCTTGTCACTGGAGAGACAGCTTGAAAAAGCGAGGCGCGAAAAGATCATTGCCTCCATCAAGCTGGCAGAACACACCGAGCCTATGACGTTCGGGCAGAAGCGCTTCTGGTTCCTGAGCCACTACATCGACGACTCCACGACGTTCAACATTGCCTACCAATTCAAGCTCACAGGCCGCATCCGCATCGACGATCTCGCCAAGGCCGTCGAGTCGGTAGCGCAGAGGCACGAGGCCCTGCGCACGCGTTTCTTCTGGTCCAACGACGACAGCAGGACGCCCATGCAGGGTATCCTGTCGAAAGCCTTTGTGCGTCTGGAGACGGCCACGATCGAGTCAGAGGCCCAGGCGGCTGAGGAGCTCGACGCCATGCGTGACCACAAGTGGGATCTCGGCGATTGGGGGCAGCTTCGACTACGACTGCTCTCGCTCTCTGACACACGGCATTACCTGCTCATGGGAACACACCACATCTCAATGGACGGCCACAGCATGAACATGCTGATGCTCGACATCAACCAAGTCTACAATAACCGCGGCCGACCGTTGGCGCCGCTGCCTGACGCCTCACAGGCCCGTTCCTTCGGCGAGCAGCAGCTCCTCGCGTACAGAACCGGCAAGCTCCAGCCAGCCATCGATTACTTCCGCCGTACGCTCCAAGCGGTAGACCTCACACGTCCTATCGAGCTGCTCTCCTTTGCTCGCTCTCAAGTTCGCCAGCCGCTCCAGGATTACAAGATCAACATGGCCCGGATCCGTCTCGACGCCCAGACAGTCGCCAAGTTGAAGCAGCTCACGCGGAGCAGCAGGGCCACATCGTTCCATGGCTACTTGACCATTCTACAGGCACTTCTGTTCCGGCTGCTGCCCGCTGAGACAACGGACAAGCTCGTCATAGGTGTCGCCGACGCCAACCGGCTCGACAGCAAGTTCATGGGCAGCATCGGGAATTTCTTGAACGTGCTCCCCCTGGTGTTCGATCGTAACCCCGGTAGCCAGACGTTCGGGCAGGCCGTCGAAGAGACACGCAAGAACGTGTACAGTGCGCTCGAACACTCGGCCCTACCCTTCGATTTGCTGCTGGACGAGCTGGCTGTACCACGCTCTAACGCATACCCGCCTGTATTCCAAGTGCTGGTGGACTATAAACTCTTCACTAAAGAGCAGGCGGAGATGCCCTGGGCTGGATGTAGGGTCGGCGAGCACCAGTGGCATGCGGCGAGAGGCCCATACGACATCGCACTGGAGATTGTCGATGACGGCGAGGGTGCCTTGATGGCTTTGCATATGCAAGGGGCTCTGTACAGCAAGGAGGCCACGAACTTGTTCCTGCGAAGCTATGTTAATGTCTTGAGAGAGGTGGTGAAGCAGGGCGGCGACCTATCAAAGGTGGACAAGTGGGACAAGGCTGATGTGAAGAAGGCGTTGGAACTCGGCAAGGGTATGTATTTTTCGTCTCTGCCCCTCTCTTCTTCCTTCCTTTCCCCCAAGCTGCTAACTATCTGGCTAACTTTCTTTGATACATAGGCACTGACATGCCACTCGAATGGCCCGCCACCATCGCCCACCGTCTCGACCAGGTCATCGCCCAGCACCCCGATAGCGTCGCTGTTAAAGATGGCTTTGGCCGTGTATATACCTATGCGGCGCTGGATGAGCGGGTCGAAAGTATTGCGCGTACCCTTCTTGGGAAGCTGCCTGATCAAAGCCACGAACAGTCTGTTGTTGGCGTGTTCCAGACTCCATCCGCCGACTGGATTGCCTCCATGATTGCTATCCTTCGTGTTGGTGCCGTCTATCTGCCATTGGATCTGAAAGTATCCATCCCGCGCCTGAAGAGCTACGTCAAAACGGCGCGGCCGGCTGCCATCCTGTCCGACAGTGAGACGGTAGCACGCACGCCGGACATCGGCGTTGGGGCTGAAGACCGGGTTGCTGTCATCAATGTATCCGATCTTCCCGCCACGGCTCATGGGCGCATGGAGAGAATCGCAACGGCAGCCCGTCAGGACCGCACGGCCTACATCATCTTCACCAGCGGCTCGACCGGCGAACCCAAGGGCATCGCCGTCAAGCATGCCAGCATCCGCACCATGGTTGAGGGCTTCGTGCGAGAGTGGGACATTGCCACCCTTGGCCGCGTCGTGCTCCAGCAGTTTGCCCTCACCTCTGATGGCTCGTTGAAACAGATCTTTTCCGCCATCGCTACCGGCGGCTGCCTTCTTGTCGCTCCCGCCGACGCCCGCGGCGACCCGGCTGAGCTGACACGTCTGATGGCCGAGCACGGCGTGACCATGACCGTAGCAACGCCTTCCGAGTACAGCATGTGGTTCCGCTTTGCGCCAGATGGTCTGCGCCGTTGCACGGCCTGGACTTCTGCCTGGTTTGGCGGTGAACGCTCGCCCCAGAGCCTCCTGGACTCGTTCCGCAACCTGAGCCGTGTGCTGCCGAACCTGCGCTTCTATACCACCTACGGGCCTACTGAGGCGACTGTGTCTACCATGAAGGGCGTTGCCGATGTACACGATCCTAACCTGACCGTTCCCGTCCCGGGCCGCATCCTGCCCAACTACGCCATCTACATCATGGACGAGGAGTCGCGACCCGTGCCGATCGGTGTGCCGGGAGAGATAGTCATCGGCGGCGCCGGCGTTGGCCAGAATGAATACCTTGGTAGGCCGGACGTGACAGCGAAGCAGTTCCACGCGGACCCGTTCGCACCCCAGGATAAAAAGGCCACTGGCTGGGGTCGCATGTACTATACTGGCGACTATGGGCGGCTTGACACCCGCGGCTATATCGCCATCGAAGGCCGCGTCGCCGGCGACGCCCAGGTCAAGGTCCGCGGGTTCCGCATCGAGCTGGCAGAGATTGAGGGAATCATCATGAGGGAAGCTGCCGGCACGCTGGCCCACGCCGTGGTGACGCAGCGTGCTGGCGAGGGCGACCATGATGGACTCCTTGTTGCGCATGTGGTGATCGAGAACAGGGACATGAGCGAGACGCAAGTTGCCAAGACAATCAACCAGCTCCGCACGCAACTGTCCAACTCCCTCCCGAACTACATGGTCCCAGCTATCATCATACCTGTTGAAGAGGTTCCCCTTACTGCCCACGGCAAGGTCGACCGCAAGGCCGTGCAGGCTCTCCCTCTCCCAGAGATCAAGACGTCCAGCGCGGAACAGCAAGAGCAGCAGAAGAACTTGACACCCGCCGAGCGCCGCCTTGCCGACCTCTGGGCCGACGTGCTCCCGGAGCTGTCGTTGGCGGCCGAGCCGCTGTCGCCGCAGTCCGACTTCTTCCGCGTCGGCGGCAACTCGTTGCTGCTGGTCAAACTGCAATCTGTCATCAAGCGCATGTTTGGTGACGCACCGCGCCTGGGCATGCTCATGAACGCGCCCGAGCTTAGCAGCATGGCGACACTGCTGGAGAGTCAAGGGTCCGCCCCTGATTGGGACAAGGAGATTGCGCTGGACTTGTTGGATGATATCCCAGCGGCGGTGCAGCGGACAGGCCTTTCAAACAGCGTCGGTCCTGGACTCCGCGTCCTGGTCACCGGCGCAACGGGATCTCTGGGAAAGAACGTGATCCCTCATTTAGTAGCTGATAAGCGCATCGCGCAGATCTTGGTTCTAGCTCGGCCCGCCGAGGGTAGGAACATGACAAACCTCTTCCCCGGTCTCTCGAGCAAGATACGTGTGGTGGCAGCCGAGCTGCCGTCTTTGCCTGTTGATACAGCCGCCGATCTGGCAGAGATCGACATTATCCTTCACATGGCCGCCGACCGCAATTTCTGGGACGGCTACGGTGGTCTCAAAGCCGTCAACGTGAACTCTGCCAAGGCACTCGCGAAGCTGGCCCTCCACACTGGCGCCACGCTGGACGTCCTAAGCTCAGGCGCCCTGGCGGATTATGAGGCCGACGGTGACAACAGTGGCCTGCCACGGCCGGACCCTGCCCACGGCTACGTCTCGTCCAAGTGGGTGGCCGAGCGGTACCTCGCCGATGCGGCGCGCCGGGCCGGTCTGCGTGTGACGGCGCATCGGCCCACACCGGCTCCGGCCGTCGATCACGCCCCGGCCGACAAGCTGACGCCGGCCGAAGACGCCCTGGTTCGCGGCTATCTTGTCAACTCGCTGCGTCTCGGTGTGCGACCCGACTTTGCCAAACTCGGCGGCACATTTCACGTCGCGCCGGTCGACGACGTAGCTGCCGCTGTAGCTGCCGCCGTCATTGCAGGTCACGAGGAGTCAGAAGAGAACGCGCTGCGCGTCGTCAACTACCCTGGCACAGCGGTCCTTCGAACCGACGTCACTTCGGCGCATGCGGAGGAGTTGTTCAGGAAACCCGAGAATGAGGCTGTGCTGAAGCTGCCAACCGTCCCGGCGTTGCACTGGGTTGGTATGGCAAAACGCGCCGGACTGTTTGAGTGGTTTATTACCTCGCAGGAATTGGTAGTGACTGATGACGAGGGACGAAGAGTTGTTTCAAAGCGGTAATTTTGGCTGGAAGGTAGCAGCTACCTAAAAAAAAAAAACAAAAAAAAAAAAAAAAAATAAATAAATAAATAAGGTAGAGACTTGATGCAAGTAGCAACGGGCAAGGGAGAGATATAGGCTCCCTCGGAGCAAAATGGTTTGAATATCTTAATACTTTTACAGCACTTACAGTGTGTCTACTTCTTCCAGTTGCTTCTTTCGGTCGCCTATGTTAATGTTAAATTGTAGTAAGAAGAGTTTATTGCAGATCGGGATCTGATTTACTATGTTATACCATTAACTTGTTGACATCTGCTGGCTAGTGTTTTAGGCCGCTCCTTGTACTCCTGATCATCACTAAAAACAAAAGCAGGCGGTCTGCATGTGTTGTCTGTTTCTCTAACAATCCCTGCTTTGATGTCAGGTATGTTGGGGTATAGCAGTACATTATAAAGTTCAGATATGGCTTTCTTTAGCTACAACCGAGATCCACTTGCTTTCAAGTGCTCAACTATGGGATGCGGGCAGCCCCTGTGAAATTCTTCCCTTTATATAGCAAAACCTCTTGGAGGTCTGTATCTCTCCTGATGTTCCGCAGATGTGAATGTGAATAACCAATGCTAGCGCGGTCGACTTCATCCTTAGCCCTATTTAGGCATTCTTGGCACTAACTTTTCTTGACTCACCTTGACTGCTGCACGAGGCATGTATGCCTTGGTTTAACATGCCTATAAGCATCTGTCAGTCCACCGGGACACTTACTTGTACCCTACAGAAAACGGCGACGCATGGGCATTTCTGAGGATACCCGAGGACATATCTTGCCACAAGGCTACGTATTCGTGTATGGTTCGTGCAGAGTCACATACCTCGAAGTGGGCAATCTTGTATGAATTGTGTTGGCACCGTGACCGGTGCAGGCGGGGTGGAATCATGGAAAGGAATTATGGCACATAATGCCGGTGGCACTGCTCGTGACGAGAAGGTCTCCAAGAAGTAATTAGATAAGAACAGTAGAGTGGTCCAGCTCTTACACCACTTCCTCCAGTGGATGAGTGCCGACGGATTGATTGATTGATGCGCCGTACCCGCTGGCCTCAGTTTTGATATGAAAGGTTTTGTTCGGCTTATTTATGGGCAAAATGATGTTTATATCGTGTCTCGGGTCGTGAATTTTAAAGCCAGCTAGCCCTTTAAACTGAGGTCTATTACCTTTTAGGTAGCTTGAAACCGGATTCTAGAGATTTAGACCTTTGCTGTTAGATGAACATTGAAAGGTCTCCTGGCCGCTATGGTTTCCGTTATTTTAACGCAAAATACATGGCATCTCTACTAACAGGTGCAGAATCGGGCCGGGAGTTTCGGTAGATGTGACTAGAGCTTGTCTGCTGGGTCCAGGTTCTTGGATCTTCCATGAGTTCTTGTTGAAGAATGAAAGAAAACGAACGTAAAAGAGTGTAATGGAATTATCTAGAGGTCTAGGTTCGTTCTGTATAGTGTACCACACACGAAGTTCCTATATAGGTCTATTTACATAAGCAAACTCTAAATGATGAACGTATCAATGTTCGTTCCTTCCAACAGTTCTTAGCTTACGACGGGCGAAGTGGGTGAAGCTGGTGAAGCTGGTCGCACTGTTCTATTGGTGTGGCTAATAGCACCAATTCAATATTGGCGTGGTAGTAGTGCACACCCATAGACAGAGTTTACCTGACCTCAATCTAACACTCTTCACTAGCCATGAGCCTATAAAATACGGCCCCCCGACTTCCATTTCTTCGTGTCGTACTCTCGCGTCTCACACTCTGTTTCTAGCAACTTGCGATCTATCTCCGTCTCATCCAAAGTTATTCGAAACAAGAAGGCGCCGCCCATACACCTACCGGTGGCGAAGCAGCCAAGGTGGGTTACTTGTTATGGTGAGATCAATCGCTAGCCAGAAGCATAGTACCACCACCGATGAAGACGACCAAGGACAGGTGAATGGAAAAGAGGCGGGAGTGCACTCTCGGCTTGCCAGCAAGAAAAACGACCGGAGTTGAGCGTGTTGCGATCGTGGATATGTCCAAGGTGCAACTCCAGTATGGCGGATGTCCTCGAGGCCATTTTGCGGAATTACCTCAAGCGGTATGCTACCTTTCAGCACAATGGCACCACCAGGTCCCCACCAACAGAACAGCTGCAAACGTGCACTCTGACTGGGGCCCGCTAATGATTTTGCTAGCTGAGCCTTCTGGCAGGGTTGGAAGTCGGAAGGTTGCCAGTGAAGGAGGGGTCAACACGTGGTTGTACGAGCATCGCCAGTTATGCCCCACGTCCCCTGGCGGAGAGAACTGGATGCCTGGAGCAATAGCATTCTGAACTTCTCCCAATTTGCTCCGTCGACTGCGCCGTCGATTGCTCCGTTGACTGCTCCGTTCCCGGGTTTGCTTCCGAGCGGCCCGACTCGGCAAACCCGGCAGGACTTGCAGATCCTTATTATCTAGGGGGGCCTTAGCGGCTCTGCTTTTTATCGAGTTATACCGCGACTCGATGCGGAATAACATGGCTGGAACCAATTAATAAATAGAAATATATTATGTTTGTAAGTATTATAATAAAATTTTGTTTACTTAGTATACTATAGTGCTTAGTCTTAAAAAGTTTCTAAAATAATAATTATTTACTTAAGTATTTATTATGCTGAATTTTTATAGCTGTTTTTATAGCCTGGGGGTAACTAAAAGTATTTATAAAATTATTTATATTTTTTTTACTAATATAAACCTAATAGTAAGGTTTATTTTTTAAAAACTAGCTACCTTACACCAGGTATAGGGATTAGAATATTACAGGTGCAGAAGTATATTAACTTTAACTTAAGGACTTTGTTACTAAAGGGTATATGCAAGCTTATATATACCCTAGAGAAAAGGGGAAGTAGTAGTGTAGTTGTACTACCCCGCTTGGTATGGGGTACTTTAGTTACTTTGTACTACTGTATTATAAATATATTTTTTATAAATATTTACTTTTGTAAAAAATATTAGATACTATTTATATTTTTATATAAAATTTTGAAAAAAATTATTATAAGTAATACAATATTTTATATACGTAAATTATATTACTAATAATAATAATAATAATAATAATAATAATAATAATAATAAATATTAAATATATATTTAATAAAGTAAAAAGTATAAAGTAGAAGGTATTTATAAAAATTACTTGATAAATAGGCTGTTACAACCTGGTTTACTGTAACTGCAAAACGTTTATAGGCAGCTGGTTCTGTTATAGTAACTGCTACAATAGTGGTTATTAGCCTAATCTTTTTGCCGTGTTGGCTTAATGGTATACCGGATCGTTACATGGGCCCTGGGAGTAATAAGCAGGGAGATGGAAGATATTTGCATGCCTATTTACATTTGCATACAACTAGAAATTAATCAGGTTAGCCGGCTGATGTAATATCAGGTGTATTATATTAGAGCATAAAATATCTCAAGGCCCCAGTTAAAAGAACCTTGTTGGTACCTATGCACTGTTAACTACTTTCGCCCACGCATACTGCATTCCCTCGAAAAATTAAACTGTGGGTACTGATGGAAATCCCTCTACTGTTTACTATAATCAGCCAATAAGCTACTGAAGACAGCTAGCATGATATTTTATAAAAAAGGGCCCGCAGTCCAGTTTTATAAGGATATACGGTAGCAACAAGTCTCGATTTAGAAGGGCCACTCTGGTCAGAGTTGCAACGCTATCAAATCCTGGGGAAAATGCATGTCATGCACTCTTGCTAGACCGCCAACGTAAGTGATTTCAAGAGGTTTACGGATTACGGATTGCAGGTGTAATGCAAATAGCGCAGCTGTACTGTATTCTAATTAGGCAAGTATATTGTATGAGTGCAGTAGCCAAAAGGAGGATCAATTGGCTGCTGATATTCAATATAACTGAAATATTCTCAAAGTAAGGGTATGAATTGCGATCATGACACGCGATCTTGCCAAGAGTCTATATAGAAACCATTGCCTGCCGACGGCCATGGTGCGAGTAATGGAACCTCGTGGGACGCCTTTACAGCAATGATCAGAGTTCGTGACCCATCCACTACTGCTACGACATCACCCCAAATGCTACCCAAAGTTGACATGCGCTGCAGTGACAGCTCGCTTCTATCTCTGCGCATGTCGTGCGACCGCTGTCGCGTCCAGAAGCTTAAATGTTCTGTATCGGCCGGAGCAAAAGCTTGCCAGCGGTGCATGCGGGCCAGAGTATCTTGCGTGTTTGGGCGACGGACGCCTTCGAAGCGCACAAGCATACGCGTCGACCGGACAGCGACGACCACACAGCCACCTCCAATAAGCCCCCAGCGGCCCGTTCCCGCGCCACCAACCTCCGGCTTGACAGCAGCATCGTCATCATCCACATGCTCGTCAGTATCGCCAACAACTGCGCCATCCAGCTGTCCGGCTGCGACTCCAGACACGGAGCTGGAAGCGCTCATAGTCTCTGGACCCATGCCGTCGGCAGCTCCAGACCTCCAGCCCAGCTCGTGCGATGCTCTCAATACCTCCTGGGATGGCTCAGCTGTGGAGCTTTACGGCTTCCCCTCCACCATGCCCGAGCGTGACAGCGACATGAACATGGCTGGTTACGACTGGCTGGAGCAGTCAGGGTTTGCCTTGGACGACGGGAGCACGTTCGAAATGGGCCAATCGGACCTCGCACCATCGTCCCATTTACCACCCCCAACAGCCATTTACCACCCCCAACAGCCGCGATCACATACCTCGGCCAGTAGTATCAGCAGGAGCAGTAACGCTGCCACGACCGGCCAGCGACTCACGGCTCTGGTATCCGAGATCCAGCAGCAGCTGCGGAGGTTGGAGGAGGGCCCGTGGCACACGGAAAGCGCCCACAGCGTGCAAGACTACCCAGTTGGCACCATTCTCGACCTCTCGCAGCAGTTCAGCGCCATCGCAGGGTCCATCCTCAGCAGCACCGTCTGCATCAGTGGTGGGTTGGAGGAGGACAGCAGCGACGAGGACAACAGCGAGAGGACGGCGGGCTGCACCACGGCAGACACGCCGACCATGCTGCTCATCATGTGCGGCTACATTTGGCTGGTACGAATCTACGGCGTCGTACTGGGCCACTTTCAGAAGCACCTACACCGGATGCCTACTGGCGATCCTCGCCATCTTGGGACAACCACGGGCGTTATCAGCCCCATCGCCGGCGGCGTAAGCACCAAGCTTCGGCTAGGTGAACTCCCCTGCACGGACGTGGTCCTGAGTCTGCAGCAGATTCATACAGCGGTGCGCATGCTGCTCGACATGCTACATGAGATCGAGGGGCATCTGGGGCGCGGGGCCGTAGCAACTTGCGACATGGCCGTGGCCTTGCTGCTCGACTCTGGGAGGCCCCAAAATTGCAGCTCCCGCGACCTGGGCATAAAGGCAGCGGCAGTGAAGAAGCTTCTGAGGGAGAAGATGGGTCTTTGAGAATATCGACCCACCACTATATTACCACAATACTATAGATGTTATTATAGAACTATAGCTAGAGTAGCCTTGTATACCTTGCTAGCGATTATAATAGAGTTTACCTAAGAATATATTAATATAACAAATAAATAAATATTTTTATTAAAAAATTTAATTTTAAATAAAATATAAAAATAAAAAAAATATAATTAGCTAATATGAATAAAATTTAAAATAATAAAAATATTTAATTAAATATTATTAAGTTTAAATTTAAAAGTTAAATAAATTAGTAATAAAATTACAGCTAAAAAATATAACTTTTTAAATAAAAAAATATTAAAAATTTAAAAATTTTAATTTAAATTTTATTTATAAATAGAAGTTATATAAATTTAAATAAATTATAAAAAGCTAGTTTACTAACAAGTAAAAAACATACTTTTAAATTAGTTTATACTTTTATAAATATATTAATAAAAACCCAGCTTATTATACTGCTATTAAAACTATTAAGCAAGAACACGTTATAAAACTATTTGATTTAGCTGTTGCCGGTTTATTTATATAAGAACAAGGCGGCGGCAGCAGCTAGAGGTTATTTTATATAAAAAACATATGTTGTTTTTCCTATCTAACAAGAGAATCTCAATCTCTTTATATCTGATCGATTAAGGCAGAGCCTGGATCAATTATCCTCTTTCAATTTCCCTTTCTATCCGGGAGGTGTGCTGCAAAGGTTTATCAAAAGAACTAATACCAATTTCCAAAAAATGAGGTATATTATATAGTTTCTTGTCTCCTACTCTATATATATACAAGAATATAAGTATTGATTAGTAATTGGAGAACCAATAGTATAAGCAAGAACCCTAGTTATTTAAGAACCCGACTTATCCAAGAACTAACAGCATTAGCAAGAACTTTTGTAAACCAGGAACCAACTGCATAAAAAAGGACTCTAGTAAACTAAAAGCTAACTGTTACGACCTGGTGTACCGTAACTGCAAAACCTTTATAGGCAGCTGGTTCCGTTATGGTAACTGCTGCAATAGTGGTTATTAGCCTAATCTTTTGCCCTGTTTGGCTTAACGGTATAACGGATCGTTACACTAACAGTATATACAAGAAAATAAGAATTTATGATAACTTAACTTATATATTTAATTTATTTATTTAAAAGTAATATATAATATTAAATTTATAATTTAATTTAAATGGGAAAAGAAATAGAAAAAAAAAAAGAATTTACTCCTTGAGGTAAAATATAAGATTATATATAGCTATAATATTCTATCTTCTGACTTCTCTTCTGCCTTGTTTCTTCCTTGCTCAATGTAGTTTCCGCTAGACAAGTGCTGCTCAAGCCCTTCCCACATTCCTCAGGCGTGTCATCTGTGGGACCGGGTCTCGACTACAGCGGGAAGGAGGGTGGAGGCTTCAACTGGCGTTGGAGTAAGGTACCAGACCATACACTACACGCCATTTACAGTCTGAGTCCTCGGACACTCGAATTGTGCAACGATGGCCCTGCAAGATCCCGGCACTGGAAGACCTTCCCTGGCAAGGATGATGCTAGATGTAATATTCGCCACTCCTTCTTCAAGGAGCACAAAATACGCTCGCTCAACATTGGCAGTAAGTTAAGAGGCGTCGTAGAAGTTCCTTCACACGAGGTGACTGGTCTTTTTGCATTGGCGACCAAGGTGATTCGACGCATTGGCAACTGACGGCAGGCGAGATGAACTTGACAGCTATAGAAAGGCAGCCAGCCAGGTGGGGTTAATGAATGCATGCTGTTGGCTTTAAGCCTTCAAGACCTTGTAGTAATGACACTAGTCTCTGTTGCTGGGCCGTAGATGTGGATATCTGGGGGATTTTGCCAGGGGAAGTGAGACACCAGGTCTAAATGAGCCTTCGTCTCAGCAACCACTACAACGACCCAGAACGGCCCGTTGCCTATCTTTCCCGCCCATAAAAAGCCATGTTAAGCTTCCTTCACCGACGCCGCTCCCGTGTCAAGCCGTACAGGGGATCCTAAAACAGCCATCGCCGAACACAGAAGCAACGCAGAGTTGCATCCGGGG